CGCACACATCCGAAGCACACGCACAGAAAGCGGCTGTCACAGCATGCGAGTACTAAACTAAGTTCTCATTCACACACAAGTTTACATTAAAAACACATACGAGTTACAAAAAAACAGTGGGTTATGTCTGTGAAGGTAAACAGCTGGGAAATAAATCGCATGTTTATTTTAGATCTGTGTGGCAGCAGCAATATACAGTAGCCTAAATAAATCAATAAATCCACTGCTCTGTTGTCTCCTCTGAGGCTGGGACTCTAAACAGTGTTCTGTGCTCGTCTGTGCAGCCAAACACAGAACAGTTAGCATGTTTTGCTCAAACTTTCGCCATGGCATTAGAACTGATACACCGCTGTCGCTTGCGAAATCAAATGATGGTGCCCTGGGTGTAAACTTACAGATTAAAGGGCGGTAATATTATAATGAGATCCCTTTGCCACGTCACCAAGGGAGCGAAATCAGACGCACTTGTTTTTTCAGATGCTTGCAGAGAAAGACTTACCAAAACAAAGTTACTGGGTTAATCTTTTTCACATTTCCTTGGTTGGTAGATGCACCAGGGACCTGATTATAGCACTTAAAACCTGGAAAAGTCAGATTTTCATGATATGTCACCTTTAAGAGTTCAACAGTGACCTTTCATGATGAACCCTGCACCGCATTTGAACCAGCAACCTTTCAGACACCAGACTAGAACTACTAACCGATTAACCTAAGTCCACACTAACCGATGTTGGAAATATCCTTGTCTGATGATTACATGGTCTCTCTGCTTCTCTTTCAGATACTCCGCTGCTAGTGTCATTGACACATCGAGTAAATACAAGTTCTTGTGGAAACTGCCCTTAGAAGACATTGAGGTGGTTAAAGGTAGTGTTATCAACTCACACAATCAGCATGACATGATTTTCATGTTTGCCTTTTTTCTTTTTTTCTTTTTTTCTTTTTTTACATGGTCTTAAAAATTTAGATTCACATTGAGACAGAAACCTGAGTTCTTCTTTCAAATTAAGAGCCCTTTCCTGAATTCCTTTAGGGCAACAAAATGTCCTAGAGTTATCTTTACCTTTTCTTATTTATTTATTTATTTTAATTATCATTTAATTATTTAATTATAATGTATTCATTTTTATGTTTTTTTATTTTATGTGTTTATTTATTTATTTATTTATTTGCCCCTTTCATGTTCTTTTCTGGTATTTATTTAATTGTATGTATTATTTGTATTATTTATATATTTAATTAATTAATTTTATGCATTATTTATTTTTTTATTTCCCCCTTTCATATTCTTTGCTATTACACTTAGTTGAACTTTGATGCTCTTTTACTGACCCATTGTCATTTCTTCATCACAGGTTCTAATCAAGCCACTAACAGAGAAAACATCCAGAAAACCATCAACCGTCTGGATGAAGATCTCAGCACGCTTGGCCAAATAAGCAAGCTGTCAGAAACACTCAGTTTCCCCCATCAGGTCTGTCTATCTGTGTCTTTATGATTTAGCATGCAATACTTATATCAGTTTCACTTGAACAGGTTTTTTCTGACGGATTACATACCTGTTCTGATTGGTTGTAGACAGCAAGGGGGGAAATAATGGTGCATGCAAATAAATAAAATGCAACTTAACTATATTTGTGCATATTTAGGATAAATATAGACTTAGAAACTTTTAGAAGAAAGTATAACATGTTGCTTTGCTTGTGCCAATCAGACTGTTGAATGAATGAAAGATTCTGAAGTGAGTTTCTGTGTGTCTGTGTCAGAGTTTGGACGATGTGATAAAGGATCTGATGGCGTCAGTGCACCGTGAGCTGGCAGATAAACAGTCTCTGGCCTTCAGCATGACGTTACTGCCCACTAAACTAGAGCTGACCAGCACTTCAGCTGAGACCACCTTCATCTTTGAGTTCAGCAGCCCTGATACCCGCAGTAACTTTGAGCAGGCCTTTGAGGAGGCCAAGAAGAAGCTCGGTAAATCAGAGCTAACCCTCTGTTTCTGTTTTGAATAATGCACAGTGATCTGAGAGCAATTCACATCAAATTATTATTTTCCTACAGAGAAAAAATGGGGAAATTATTATTTTCTGTTGTGAACATTGTGTTGACATTTAGCACAAGACAAACTAGTGAATAAAACGATAAATAGAGAATCCACTGTATAAACAGAAGCCAGTGTTGTTTTAGTAATATTTATGTGATTGTATTTAATATATGTAAAATAATAATAATATAATTTAATATAATTAAAAACCATGATATAAATAATACAAAAATAGCATATACTGTATATGCATGTGTGTGTGCTGTTATAGTATTTATTAATATTTTTCATTAGCTTATTAACTTAGCTTAATATATATTTTCAGTTTTCAGGTTTTTTTTATTGTAATTTAGTCATTTTATTTGCTTTATTTTAGCTTTACTAACTGAAATAAATGTTTAAATACTAAAATTACTTAAAATTAACCTGTTTTAGTTGCCAACATTTCTGATTTTTGTTTTGTTTAAGTTTTTCATCTAATATTTACTGGCATAAATCAAACAGTAATTATATATATTCACAAATGGCACAAAAGTACTTAATATATTAATGAATATATATGTGTGTGTGTGTGTCTGTGTGGAAAGTGCAGAAAGTACCTCATATTTTCATGAGAAGTTTAAGAAATACTGCATATTCAATGATAAATGCCATATTTGTTGAACCTCCTATATGCAGTAATTTTTGTATGTGTTTACGTGAATTTGTATAGTATTTGTTGGGCTTTTCATGGAAAAATAGAATAGATATTTATGCATAGCCCAAGAAATACTGCCTATATTCATGTAAAACCCATAAATACAGAATATATGAATGGAAACAAAAAAATTCTTTTTTTTTGTATATACTCAATTCAAATGCCAAAAAATACTGCACAAAATTCATTACTAAGCCTAAGAAATACTACCTATTTTTTATGACAAAATACAAATATTGCATATATTTTTGAGAAGGCCAATAAATATACAGTATATTTATGATATGATATATACTCCATATATTTCATATTAGCCCAACAAATATGCTATATATTGATGACAATCAAAAGCACCCTGTTTCCCATCTTTTGTCCAGCCATGAACAAAGACCAGTGGGACCCTGAGTTCCTGAAGGCCATTCCCATCATGAAGACCCGCAGCGGGATGCAGTTCTCCTGCGCCTCCCCCAGTCACAGCTGTCCAGAGAACACGTATGAGGTGTGGGTGTGTAACAGCGATGGGTACGTGGGTCAGGTTTGTCTGCTGAACATCCGGGACGAGCCCACGGTGGAGGCCTGCATCGCCGTCTGCTCCGCTCGCATCATCTGCATCGCAGCCGTGCCGGGCCTGAAGAACAGGTGAGACCGACGGCCCTAAACACACCTGCTTAACAGGACAAATTCTCCTGTTAAAGACTAATAATAGATGAGCTGTTCTAATGAGAGTCTCTGTACAGACACAACATGCTCACACTGCTAATGTCACAGTGTGTTTAAAAGAACATTATAGGTTATTTTCAACCTAATGTTTATGTTCTGCATATGTGGCATGCAGGGAAATTAATTTCAACATCTTTCGATGTATATAAATGAACAGAACATATCCACTAGCCCCACCTATTAAGGATAACCTATTATTTAGACAATTTTGTAGCACAAAAAACAAAAAAGAAAAACTTGTGTATCTACATTTATAAGTGCACATATATGTGTGTGTATATATAAAAGTATTTGCATGTTATTTTAGTATTATTTATTCACTATTATAGTATTTATTAATTTGATTTGATTTTTAAATTTTTCAGTTCATTTTAAATTAGTTTTTGCTATGTGCTTTTGTCATTTTTGGACTTTCTTAAAAAATATATTTCTATTTATCAATAATCACTATTTATATTTGTTTCAGCTGTATTTTGTTTTAGCACTTTTACTTACATGTGTGTATTTCTGTTTAATTTTTTATAAAGAAATTTTTTTTTTTTATCAAATATTTATATTTTATTTCAGGTTTATTTAAATTTCCAAAACAATTATAATAGTTTTAGTTAACAATAACAAGACTGATATTCTAAATGATTGTTTCTGGTAATTGACAACATGCCATACACATGTTATTACTTTGAAAATACCCTGGAATATGGCTTTTAAAACAGGTTTTGTTGCTGTATGTGCTTTTGTCAGTTTTTTTTTATTTATTTCAGTTTGAGCAATTTTAGTACTTCATATTAAACTTATTTATGTTGCAACAAAACAACACTTCATTATTTAATTTGCAACAAAGCAACAGCTTTTTAAGTTAGTTTTTCATCTAATATTATACATTTTTATTTTAGTTTTATTTCAATTGCAAATATTTTTAACAGTTTAACAATAACAACACTAATAAATATTCCTGGACAATTCTAAATGATTATACTGTATGTGGTAATCAACCACGTGCCTTACATGTTATCAAGTTGAAAATGCCCTGGAATATGCCTTTTAAAACAGGTTTGCCTCTCAGTATAATATACAATGTTTTTTGCATGTGCACAATGTCCATTCTGTTTACTGCAGAGAACGTGTAGGTCATTCCAGCGCCTCCGTCCCGTCTGAGTCAAATCCTACAGCGTCTACACAACCCCAGCTCCACATCTGCATCTCCGGCTCGTCTCTGGAGCTCAGCGAGCCGCCTGCGGTCCCCGCCGCAGAGCTCGTGCCCTTCGATAGTGACGACACCGATGATGAAGACTCTCCCAGCCCTTCATCCACACTGCAGAGCCAAGCCTCCCATTCCACCCTCTCATCCAGCTTCGGCAGTGAGTCACATTTACAGTCTCTAAAATCATATAAAGTACTCATGTTTGTGATTTGTGTCTTATTGATGGTGTGTTTTATGTATTTGTTTCTCTCAGATGATGAAGCAGCCGTTTCGAAGGACATGGCCACCGAGACCACCAGCTCCGAGGAGGAACAGGAGTTTCCCGTCCCCAGCTCATTCAGTGCGGACAGTCCCATGGACGGCCGAGCCATGCGGCGGTCCAGTCGAGGGTCCTTCACCCGTGCCAGTCTGGAGGACCTGCTGAGCATCGACCCGGAGGCGTATCAGAGCTCCGTCTGGCTCGGGACCGAGGACGGCTGGTGAGACAATTCATGACAGAATAAAGAGCTTCTGTACTGGGATGTAGGGTGGTACTTGATTTGGTGATTTTAGTATTATTTATATACTATTATAAATAAGCATTTATTTTTACATTTTTCAGTTTTAAGTTTAGTCTGTTTTATGTGCTTTTGTCATTTTTATAACTTTGTAAAAACATTTCTAATTTTAGTAATTTTATTACTTAACTTTACACCTTAAACTTTATTTTCCAAGACAACATTTCTAATTTAAGTTTTCCTTTTAAGCTTATGTTTAGGTTTTAAGAGAATAAATAACTTCTAATGTTATATAGGGAGCTATTTGATTGGATCTTTAAAAGTCGATATTTTAGATATTAAAAAGTAGATGTTATTTGTTATTATTATTTTCACCACCCTACTGGCCATGATTATATCAGTATAAACCAATATATATATATTTATTATTTGAAACAAAAACTTTTTCTTCTTTAAAAGTAACATGCTGCAGAAACAGCTGTAACACCTGAAATTAAGACAAAAATTAAGAAAGTAAATTATGCTTATTTTTATGATATTAACAATTAGATGGTGGAAATATATATATATAT